CATTTTCAGATGACAGATCTGTATCATCCAAACCAACATCCTGCCATATGTCATCATCAACATCAAGTTTGAAAAGACCTTCAGTAGCTATTTTATGTGGTGCACGTGCTCCATGGGGACTTTGTTTTGCCTTGATCATCTTTTCTAGTTCACTGCAGAGATCGTTGTATTTCTTTGCAAGCTTTTGAATCCCTGGTTCCTTGCACTTTATCTGAGACTCTGAATGTTCTTGAAGTTTTTTAGCTAATAACAGTTATGAGTCCTTACGAGTTTACGAGTAAGACTCATTCTTTATCAACTGAGGACTTAGGCAAATTTTTCATTCATTCATTCATTCATTCACCTTTCAACACCGCGGGAACCTTTTACCTTAAACAGAAAAAACACCTGTACAATGGAGCACAATTATTAGGAAATTAGGAAAAAATAAGTGGAAAATAATGTTGCACAGTGGTGCCATGTGAAGTTGGAGAGGCTGTGTTGAGGGTTCAGGGTTGATATCTAAATATAGAAACCAGCTGAAAAATGGGCAGAAAATCAGAAAAAATACCCAAAAACTAAGAGTTACATTCTCTGTTGACATGATATTGAAGGGGCTGTGTTGATGGCTCAGGGTCCATATCTAAATATAGAACAAAGGCACAAAATGGCTAAAACATCAGAAAACAATGAGAAAAATATGCAAATAACATACATTGTTACTACAATGTTGAAGGGGCTGTGTTCAGGGTTCAGGCTCCATATCCAAATATAGAAAATGTTGTTACATTATGAAATGTGATTATATCATCTGACTAGCATTCTTTCTTATGTAGATATGGGTCAAAATACATGACTATTTTCAAAAAGTGTCCAATTTTTTCAGTATTTTGTGTTTTTCTCAATGAGGAAAGATCTGTGTGACATTATTTATTATGAGTCCTTACGAGTTTACGAGTAAGACTCATTCTTTATCAACTGAGGACTTAGGCAAATTTTTCATTCATTGATTGATTCATTTACCTTTCATCACCGTGGGAACCTTTTCCCTTAAACAGAAAAGCAGCCATAAAATCAGGAAAAATGGTAAAAGAAATCAGCAAAAAATATGTAAAAAATCGGAATATTGTTTAGTAAGGTGGGGAGGCTGTGTTCAGGGTTCAGGGTCAATATCTAAATATAGAAACCACCTAAAAGTTGCCAGAAAATCAGAAAAAAATACCCAAAAATTAGGAGTGATCTTCTCTGTTGCCATGGTGTTGAAGGGGCTGTGTCCAGTATTCAGGGTCCATATCCAAATATGGAAAATCAAGACAACTATGTAAAAATATTGTCATATCATGCAATGTGACTATATCTTGAGACCAGCTTTTTTGCTCTTTGAGATATTGGTCAAAAATGCATGACAATTTCCAAAAAGTGTCCAATTTTTTCAGTATTTTGTGTTTTTCTCAATGAGGAATGGTCTGCATGACATTATTTATATATATCTATAAAGGTAAGGAAAGGGGCTACAATTATTGTTTATGGAGCTAAGTGAGAGGCTGTGTTTCTGATACCGTGGGAATTTTAACCCAAAAAAGGAAATTCATCACAAATATATAGAGCATGCTATTATAGGTCACAAAATATAACTAACCATCCTCTTTCCTGAGATATATGCAAACAGGACTGTGGGAATATTTTACCATAAACAGAAAAATAGTTATAAAATTGGGAAAATTTGCTATAAAATGAAAAAAAAAAAAAAAAAGAATACCACACATTGTTGCTATGATATTGATGGCTAGGCTCAGAGCTCAGGGTCTATTTGCAAATATAGAACAAAACTCAGAAAATCATAAAGTGATTACATGACCAATTTCCTAATATTAAATTTAGAGTCCACAGAAAGGACTCATACATGCCATGCAAAGCACTGGCCCACACCCACAGTCAATTAGTATATATTTTATTGTAGTGTAAAACCCATACTTACTATTGGTTGTAGTTTTGCGGTATGCTCTCTCTAAGCTGTCCAACTCAAATTTTCGCTGCTGCAAGCGATTTCTCAGATGCTGTTTTAAAGCCAAGGCATTTACACGCAGAGGAAGAAATTTATTTCCAAGCAGGCGCTCAAGATTTAATCGCCCATCAGCTCCCAGAGTATTGCGCTTGGTGTTTATTGACTTTTCAATCTTGGTGAACTTCTCTTTTAGTTCATTGATAGATAGTCTAACATCTGCAATCTCCCAGCCATCATCATATTTGCCAGTGTGAACCATTGTTTCAAGTTTATAAAGCTCTGCTTTGACTCCACTCATCTCATCCTTCAACTCTAAAATTTCTTGAATTAGCTTATTTGCCAAATTCTTTGACTGCCTTGGACTTGGCTTGGTTTGTTGAACAACTTGTGCTGCCCATTCTTCTCTCAAAAGATCCTCACTTATATCAAATTCTTCCAGCTTAGCCAAAATAGCAGCAGCTTCATTTTTACAAGCAACAGCAGCATTCCACTTTTTTCTAAGCCATTCACCCATGCCTAGAAGAGACTTCTGATCCAAATGCTTAACCTGAGTGTCAATTGTATACAGGCGTGTATAATATCCACTGACTCTCAGAGAGGGGATCAGAAGTTTGATTGAGCTCCAAAATCTCTCACAGCCTTCACCATCAGTAAGGCCAAAACCTTTACACTTTCTTGGATGATAAATCAGTTGACAAGCCCATTGGTGACCATATGCATGGAAAACAGATATAGCCCAGATTAACCGATCATGAAAGTCCTTTAAAAAGCCCCATTTAAGGGAACTTCGATGCAACTGGCATCCAATATCATAAAGTACTCCAACTCGAGCAGTAGATGGCAAGTGATCAAAGAGACGTTCCAGAAGAACCAGAGAATAATGTTGCTTCTCTCCAGCAGATGTCATGTTAACAAGCCACAAGACACGATCATGTCAACAGAGCAGAGCCATTATACCAGTATCTGAGAAAAACTGAGTACTAGCTTTGACTCTCTTCTCATCTGCAGCAGTAAAAGAGTCTTCACACATGTTCAACACAGAGTTAGGAACTTGGATCCCAGGTTCACAGTGATCAGCATCAGCATCTGAAGGAGCTGTCTGCTTAGTAGTATCTCTTCCTTTTGGTTTGCCCTGTGGACGGACTGTTTCTACCTTATCTTCCATGGACTTGACATCAGCTGAGGAGATAAAAATAGTCTCAGGATGCTGGCGAGGGGCTGGTGGTTCTTTGCCTTGTGCCTTTCTTGACTTTTGTTTGAAGCATGCATCCAAGCATACAATGAAGTCCACCCTATAGAGAAATTTATAAAGACTATTGCAACAAACCAAGCAAAAGGACGCACAGATCTTCTGTTTTTTTCCAATCTTTTCCTCCAAAACAGAGTGGACAATGTGACCGCAAGTACTCACTTGGCCTTCCCTGGTTATCTGCCTCACCTGCTGCAGACTGATTCCCACCATGAGCTGGACCCTCATCTTCAGGGCTACTCATTTCCACATCTGTCACTATATTAGCTCAACACTGAAGTGATTAATTATAAACATCAAGTCACCGTTTTCTGTTTAAGTGCTAAGATGTCAGAAAAGCAAAATGAATCTAATCACATAAATCATACCTTGAATATCAGTAAATGAAAGCCTTATTTGATTCAAATAATTGGCAAGAAGACTGTTTTTCTTGTCTATCAGTGTAGCATACCACTGCATAGCATTTCCAAAGCGACGTCGCAGACTATTCTAGAAAAGAAGTCAAAAAAGAACCTATTTTGGAACTCACTCGGGTTGCCAATTTATATTTTCTATTCCCAAGAAATGACTCTAAAGTCTCACACCAGGCTGTGGTATTTGGTGCTGCATTGACAAAAAGCTCATTGACAAATTCAAGCATATTCAGATCAACTGCCAGAGATGGTGAGACAGGCACACATGGAAAGAAACCCCGCTTCAGAAGCTGAAGGGCAGGAGATGTGCATGTGCAGAGTGTCAGAGTGTCAATTTCTATGCAAGGAATTAACTTAGTCAAGTTGAGTGAACTTAAGACAGTTACTCTCAAAAAAAATACATGCAACCTTCAACTCCCTTCCCAAAGCACACCCTTGGCAACCTTCTCTCTGTCTAACATCAGCCATATTTCGCAGTGAATCAGTCTCAGCTAGGAGTTGGATGTATGGTTCCATGAGTAAAGGAAGCACCTCCCCTTCCCACCGCTGAAATTGGCGCTCTTTTTTGCCAGGTTTATGTCCCTCTACATTTCCAATGACATCCATAGCAATGGCTCCAAAAGGCTCATCTTGTCCTTCGGAAAATGAATCAGCATGTTGAACAAAGTGACCTTCAGGTGTACAGACATTGGCCCGAGGCTGTGCAGTGCCGTACACTCGGCGTGTTTGGAATGAACCAGCTGGTACCAAGTTTCTTGGAAGCTCTGGACGAGAATTGGAGGATTTGCGCTTGAACATGAGGGTCAGAGATGAAGAGGGGGGGGCGGCAAGAAGTACTCCAGCTCCAATCTGCCTTATCTGACCGATACAATCAATCAAGTCCACGTTTCATGTCAAACAAGAACAAAAGCACAAAAGAAGAATGACATGAGAATAGCGCTTGTGTAAAAAAGTCCGTCTGTATACTTCAATGATCCGAATAAGTGCCACCGTGTGAACAACCACCCCCCTTGTCGCTCAGCCTGACAATGATCCTTCCGTGAATCCAGGAATTTGATGCGGGGTGCATGGGGCACGGCCAAAGCAATCAAAGAATGTTTGGCAGTAGAGACTGGCCACCATTTGTTCTGTTTCTTCGAACACTGCCTGTGTGGTCGAATTGGAAAGGTAGCGTGCCTTTAATCTCCTCGCACCATCACCCGGCCACACTGTCATCAAACGCCGCAAGGCGTCCACATACGCCAAGCAATCCTGCCACTTTTCCGCCGCGAGACCCTGCGTGAAGAGAGGAACCCCAGCAACTAAAACTCCATCACTGTCCTCCGGGAACATGCTGCATATTAAATTCTCGCGGACACCAGCAGAAGAATCGGAGGTCCACGCTGAGGGCAGAAGATAGCGATCGAGATGGCGTACTTCATAGCGAAGGTTTTGTTCGAAAGCATTCCAGATCACCTGTGCCATCATGAGAAGGGAGAGATGATCAGTTTCTCCTTGCATCGCCACTATGTCACCCCAGTAAACAGTGCCTGGACAATCACCAATCGACACCGCACTCGAGAAGATGGACCCTTGAGCCTCCTTTGCTTTTTGTGCACGACGTTGATTTGAAGGATTAGGCTTCTTTCCCTTATTCTTTTGCACGCCACCGAATGAGGTGTTGCTCGTCGAGGGGACTGAAGGCACCAACTGCATTATCTTTGTGAAATTGTGCAAAAGGCTGCGCCAATGTTGAGGCGATGGCAGTTGTGGAGTCGAGTCAACGCCGACGAGGGACTGAAGCCACTGATCCCGCATCATTAACCAGGCCAAGATCATCAATCTGTTATGGTTACCACTGATGAAAAGGAAGGGGTCCGGAAATTGATAGCCACGCAAATTACGTGCAGAAAGGCTAGAAGAGATGCGGCGTGGGTTTGTATCCACAGCCGCTAAGGCATTCTTCCATGTGGGGGATTGCGGGGGGACAAAGGAATGTTCGGGCTCGTGAAATTTTGTATGATTGACGGAAGCTATTTCAATAATAATGAATTAGTATCATAACCACTGCACAACCTGTAAAAGAGGAACTTACTTTGAGCATTATTGTTCACGTTGACACCAGATGTTTGGGCAGTAGTGTTCGCATTGACGCCAGATGAGCCTACTAAACAGATTCAACCATGGGTAAGCGAGTTTGTTCACTTAAACACAAAAAAAGCCTACCATTGGTGAGTGTCACATTGGGTTGTTGCGATCCGGTAAAAGACTCCACTACAGCCACGCCACTGACAGCTTGCATGACAACGGGCTGGGGATCAATGATACCAAAATGTCCCTCGCGCCAATTTTGGCATGCAGAAACGTACTCTCCACTTCAAGGACATGCTGTGATGACAGTGGGGTAGGGTGTCCCAGGATATTCTTTGTATGTGAACTCGCGTGGATCCACGTCATTCGGCAATCACCCCTGGATGACCGGCATCTTCTCCCAACCAGGTGGAACAATCATGCGGATAATCATGTTGGTTGACAGGTTCGCCGGCGGACGAACATACCAACCAGGTGCACCAACCCGGTAGAGCATGGCAATGCATTCTGTACTGTCTGTGATTGCACCCATGATGGACTCGTCCACTTCGTGGATCTTCCCAGTAGGCTCGTTCAGATGAAATGCCCATTTGGTGTGCCAATCAAACATGGTGAGAGTTTCGAGGTAGACACATTGAAAACCAGCGATGCGGTAGACCAAGTCATGTTTAGAAAATGTACAGAATTTGAGCTGAAGAGCGGCGTCGACTGTCTTGTTGGCAAGGTAGAAGAGACGACCGTAGTCCTTCAGCTGCTTGATCTCTCGACATGCCGATTGAAGTTTCCTAGCTTCATTTCGCAATGAATCCGCGATGTCTTCACGCAAAGTTCCGAGATCACGGAAGGCAGACCCTTTCGCCTCCACAAAATGGTTATCCCCAAGATCCCACCAGCAGAAACTGAGTTCGTGGTTCTTGATGGTAGCCTCAGGTGGCCGCGCTTTAACAAACGGCAGATGCCATTGGCTATCAATAAACCATTGAGGGCATACAGTGAAGTTGGCCCAAGCAAAACGGCCGTCTGCACGTGCACGAACTGGGCGGGGGAGTAATGAGATGAAGGGCATCCAGCACATGTTTGGCGATGTCACGATCATTCGCTTCGGAATCGTTTGACCAGGTTCCAAGTACGGGGGCGGGGTGGGATCTGAATTTAGCGCTCTGTACGCCTCATTGAGCTCTGCCAGGGACAAAGCGTCATACGCCGTGAATTCAGCTAGAGAATTATCAGACCTTGTCATGATTCGGAAAAGAAAACTCCTTACATTCCCCTTCAGGACGCTCGTGAAACTGAAAAATGGTGTCTCCGTTAGGATTGTGATAACGTCCAAAGACGTCTGGGCTGCCATCTGATTAACAAATGAGAAAATAACACCACTATCCTGCAAAATGAACCGAACTTACAAGAATGGGCCAAGGGATCCGGGCGAACTGTTCTGGAGGCCATGTTCCACGCCCTCAACACCACCGACTTCTAGCGCTTACTACCTGCGGATGGCTCAATTGCTGTGCGGCGTTCCATTGACAAGCCTCTGCACGCGTACAGCCTTTGACCTCTGCATTTTCCCGCTACCTGAAGTCTTTAATCCAATCAGCCAACGACAGCATCAATGGCAGTGAGAACCAAGATTCTCGTTCTGAAAGCTGTCTGTGAACAACATAGACATATAATCATGTTAGTATTTTTATTTTCACTGATTTTTTGAGAACTAAAAGTCTGGCGCTTAAGGGGAGCAATTTGTCAATACTACCTCAGCTTTCAACGCGATGTTTAACCGCATACAGCCTTCCAACTGCTTTCAAAAGGGATTGGCTACCTACCTTGCTTTGCTCATGGTTAACCAGCTCGCTATCAGGTTTCTCCTGGTTTCTCCACCGTTCGCTCAGACACGAATCTTTGAACATGATCGTCGCCACGCCGCTCGTCCCCTCTTCACGTGCACTTTTCACACGCGTCATCACTTCCTCAAAATAATAAATCATCATCACGAATTGGCTGAAAGTCATCGCCTCCAACCCTTTCAAAACGCGCTCTATCGTGGCTGGCCAAAAAGACATCTCAATTTTCTTGCCGATGCAAGTCCAACACTGTTAAAAGTGGCCACGTCAACTTTCAACACGTCGCCACGTCAAATTTCAACGCGTCGTCAGGACGAACCTCTGGGACTTTACTCTGCACATGAATTGGGAATGCAGAGCGCAGTAAGTGCAATTTTGCAGCAGTATGAGTATCTTCTGATGTGCTTCCTAGTAGTCCAATACGAAGCGAGGTGCATTCTCCCTGCCCAAACGGGATGCATATCTTTTGCATCGAAGATATTTCAGATAATGAATCCCATAGAATGATGTAGTTGTCATTTTTTTCATCGTAGAGAGTCCGCTATGCACTTTACTATTGGCAATCGGGGCTAGCGCCTAAATGCCAATCCATACTAAATACCATTACTCTGCCTTCTTGAGGCCCTTCTGGAGTTGCTGCACTAACGGCTCCTGTCTTCACGCCCTTGGATATGAAGACTTTATTTGCCCCTCCCCATCAAAGCCAAATATGGGACTCACGTGAGTCGACTCCCTCAAACATTTATTAACAGCTCATCCTCTCTCGCAGAGCTCTCTTTCGCACCAATTGTCATACCACCAACTAGAAACCAACTCCCATTCTTATTATGCCACCCCGAGCAAAAAACAGAAAAAGTTCAAACTCTGGCATGCCTGGTAGCAAGAAAGCTGTAAGTTCGCCCCATCCTCCTGCCACAATTCATTTATATTGATGTGGCATTACTTTCAGGCCCTTTGAGTCAGAGGTACCGAAGACCGCAACACCCAGATTGCCGATGGTGGAGAGCCTGCTCCCCCCACTGATCATGGGGGAGCTGGTGAGGATGTCGCCCTGCAAGAGGCACCGACCACCCTTCCGCATCCCCACAAGAAGCCACATGAGCTTATAGACTATGTCCTCATGCAGCCTAGCAAAACCCGTTCTCGAATGGAGACAGCTGGGGTTACAGCAAGGTGAGGCATTTGTGTTATATTGTTCATTCGTCGCAGAATCAGACTTCAGTCGATTCCTTGCCAGACTCTAAGTCAGTCGACGAGGCAGCGGCGGCTCTGGAAACAAATAACTGACTATAGTTTGGCAGAGTTGAACAGTCGCTTTTGGAATCTAGTGCTGCGTCGGCACCCACTGTCGCTGCGCCAATTGCAATGAGGAAAACCGCTCCCACTGCGCAAACCACGGTGACCACCACTCCCGGTGCACTGGACCCTGTGGTGACCACGATTCCTGAACCAGCATCGGCTACCAAAGACGACCCTCCCCCTCGGGTGACACTCTTATCCTTGGCCGATTTCGACAACGATGAGATCGAAGCGATGAATCAAGAACTGGAATCACGCGATACAGCCTACCGCTTCTCCTATCTAGAGGGCGGGTACAGGCAATACCATGGTCGTCGCCCTGTGAAGGGGCCGCGCAGTCCAGCGGATGACCGCACTATGATGCAGGACGACGAAACTCTCCGCTGGGTCCCCATTCTGGCTGGATATACAGCTCCACACACCCCAGAAGATTACATCGAGGCGGTCAATGACTTTCGCAAACAAGATCGTCAATGTGTGGCTTATGCCCACCCTGACGCTCGCAAGGCTTTCGATGAACTCAACCTCTCCCGCCATCCTGGTGACCCCGAGATTGAGCTTGAGTTCCTTTACAATATATCAAAAGAGGAAGAAGCAGCGCTGGTTGCAGGGCTCAAGCAAGATGAAGCCGCCTACAAGTTTAAACGACCATGGGAGGAGGGCTTTATTCGTTACCAAGGCCAAAGCCCTCGAGAGGGTATCCAGAACACTGCCGACAGACTCACCGAAATATGGGATGAGGAGAAAGAGAAATATGTATCCATTCCCGAAGGGTACACTGCCCCTCACGACCCTCAAGATTATATTGATGCCCTAAACTGGGAGATTGCAGAGGCTGAAACAACTCGCCGTGCTGAGCTCGCCAGTGCTGCTCAAAGGGCTAAGCGCAGGGGAGGTGAGGACTGGGAAGCCCCCGATCCTATGATAGAAAGTGACTTGAGTGGCTCAGACTATGAAGAAACTCGGCGCGACAAGGAGACAGAGAGGGCTCGGCTCAGGTCGAGGGGAAAGCCTGCAACGGACACGGAGGAGGAGGATGAAGAAGAAGATCGCGAGATGCAGCGCGAATTGCAGGAAGAGATGAATTCGAAGGCATCTGGACGTTCCAAAGGTCTTGCAGCAGCTCAAAGTAAGAGGACCAGCTCCGACAACAAAAAAACTTCACCGAATCCAACCATTTCACCACCAGCCGGTATCTCTTGGGATGCACTGAAGGCTTCCCTGTCACCCTCCGAACTCGATGCCTCTGCAGTGTTGAGAAGTTTCAACCTCAACTTGATGCCAGAGGAGCTAATTCCCAAGGTCAACACTGTTTCATCTCAGAAGCCTTCTCTCATGGAGAGTGCGCTGTATCGATTGTTCGGCAGGATTGTATGGCAATACGCAGCTCGTCTCGGCCACCTCAATAGCCGTTCTCCTGATTTTGTAATGGAAAAGGCTAATTTATTACAGAAAGAGAAGAGGGCCCCCAATCGTTACAATGTATTCAAGACTTTTGCTAGCAGGTCCAAGCCTGACGACGATGATCATGGTATGTATCTCAGTTCAGAAACTTACTATTGCCGCTGATGAAAATGATGAAATCACTATAGAGGGCTTGCAGACGTGGAACAAAAACCTCAATGAGGAGTATAGGAAGCTCATGGAAGGTGCAGACACAAGTGAGGAGAAGGACAAGCGAATGGCGGAAGCATTCAAATTTATTAAGGAGCAAATTGCTGATGAGGGTACCAGTATTCGTGATGCATCTTTGCGCTTTGCGGAGCACCTCAAAACAATTACAGACATGGTACGTGACCATGCCAGTTCAACGTGCTCCACTAATTCTCGCTTAGATCACGACCATCAAACGGCGTGATCATTCCTTCGACGTCGCTGGCATACTTGTCTACAGCGGCAAGAATCGCACTGTGCGAAACAAGTCCGGGCTCTTTATGAGCTCTCCTGAACTTCGAGAGCTCTGCAGCAACGAGCAGTGGCCGATCAGCATGATCACGGACATCTTCATTACTAAAGTCAGGTATGCCTATGCTGTGTTATGATTATTCTCTCCTTTGAACATATTATAGGGCGATGCATGCCGACCGAATGATCAAACAACATATGGCAGGATCCTATACTGATGGAGCGTCCACTGAGCCATCGACGACACCCTCGCAGCTGTGTCGGCCAAGTGCCAGCTCATCCGCAAGGCTCACTCCGAAGGGTGGGTTGCAGAGGATTGTGTCTGCCCCTCCCATCTCTCAAGATATTTTGCCCGACTCGAATAATCCTCAAAGGCAATTCACACAGATTTTTATTTCTCTGCTAAGTATGTTTCGTAGAATAGTAACATGTGCAAGTTCATTACTCATCACGGATCTAGGCGAACATAATGCGGAATGCACCACTGTTTCTTGGACGACGTGGCCCAACATGGCATTCAAATTGAAGAAGGTCATCGTCGGGTGGGACTCCGATGTGGTTGATATAGCTTTCTGTAGGGCTTTCGCATATGGGAAGATCAGTAACAAGCAGTGGCGCCATCTCTCGAGACTCATTCTCGAAGGTGTTCTCACTATCAAAGACTGGACAGCAGGTAAGCGAGCTTTGTTCGCCAATTAACTCGTATGTATTCACGACATTCTTTAGAGCAGAAACAGATTCCTGAAACCGATGCTCGCTTTGGCGAAATTCCCGTCGTTCTCAACTTGCGTGGCTTGCCTATGGTGTTTATCAAAGACTCCTCCAACTGGGTGCGCCAGAACTGCAAAATTGACTCAGCAACTCCATATACGCCATGCGCTCCCTCTGCTGCTTCCTCTCCCGCTCTTCTTTCATCCAAGAAGCGCACCTACGAGGATCTGTCCCTGGTTACTGAAGAGAATGCAAGGAGAGAGCATCGTAGTGTTTCCACTCCTGCGCAAAATGAGATGGAACCGTCGGCAAAGCGCCAGCGTCACGTTACGTTCTCCTCTCTTCCGATGACCATGTTCTATATGAAACATCGGCAAGAACAGTTATTACAGAAGAGTACAGCTCGTCATTCACCATTCAACCAACCCTCTTCATCGTCATCGAGCCAAGCTACCCTCGCTTCAAAGCCACCTGCAAACCAAGTCACCAAGTCTATCTTAGGAGGTCGTTACAAGGGCAGTGCTGGTCCTAGTAAAAACTCTACTGGTTTCCTGAAAGATTGATCATGCATCGGTTATCCTATGATGAGGCAAGTCTTTTCTTCTTTCCATGTACTTCCACGATACTGATTGATCTCAAGACTGCTTGACTACTAAGCTCTTGAACTCTTCATTTACCTTGGCTTATATAACTTTTGACTTGTTAGCACCTTGAACACTTTCATTACGTACCATAACTGGGGTTTTTTTGGAGGGATCTTTTATTGCCCATAATGCTTCTTTAACTTTTGGACTTTTAACTTCCCTTTAGTTGCGACAATGATATTTCAAAGTTTACTTTACTGATTGTCTTATAGTTACATAGATTACCCTACTTTGGCTTTAAAGTATTCACCGTTTCTTACAGACTGAAGATATTATTGTCCTATTTTCATTCCTTCCTCAATAGATTCAACAACTTTCTGAATATATTTAATGTTTGGAATATATACAGGCTTTTAAATCTATAGTTAAATACCCTTCTGAATATATTCAGCCCTATAGATTTTATGTAATTCAAGGACTGAATATTATATAAAAGCTATACATATATTCAGAGAAGGGGTGCTGAATATATCACCCCTCTGAATATATTTAGTCTTTGAATCTATAGGGCTGAATATATTAAATATCCTTCTGTATATATTCAGGGACCTTTGAAATATATACAGTTCTCTGAATATATACAGTTCTCGGGATATATTATGTACCACTCTTCAGAATCTATACAGTATCTTTTCCAATCTATACAACAATCTTTAAATATATTCTAGGGAAAAAGTAAATATATTTAACATCTGTCTAAATATATTGGAGGAATGCCAAAAAGAGTGAATACTCTTCCACAATTATACAACAACTTCATCTTAAAGAAGAAAGCTACATACATATATCTGCTGAACATCCAAGGGCAGGCTTCAGTAGGTCCCCTCATGAGTAATTGTGAAAATCAGAAAGCTTGCTGAGTAAAAATCTCTGCTCAGTATTATTAATTTTAATTGCATACAATCATGTACCTCCTACCCCACTCAGTGTCTCTCTCACCATTATTAATTATTACTTAAATCTCTGCTCAGCTCCTTCAATTTTAAATACATGCAACTACATGTGCCCTTCCACACTCAGTGCTTCTCTCACTATTATTCTTACTTATCCAAATCTCTCCTCAATATCTTCAATTGCCTCTTGAATCCCACTACCAGTTGTGAGTATAAGGTAGGATATTGGAAGGACATTAGATACAGCAGCTGGTAGGTTTACTCTTCTATTTTGGACATAGATAGGAACCCTAACTTCAGGTTCCTTACTTACTTTTTTGCATCAATACTACCATCTGTGCCTTACATCCTTTGACTAGTGCCCATGTCACACAAGCCTGAAGGGCTTTTGTTCTATCATCAACACATCAAGCCAGCTGAGCACCCTGCCATGTGCTCACTGGCAAGGAGTGAGCACTGACATGTTGTCAGCCATCCATGTCTTCTCCTCTGAATTTCACACTGAGACAAGTCTTTGAGCACTAGTATTTCAGTCTTGTAGTTTAATCCCACTATTACTCTGCACTGGCACTCACTTCAAACAGAAATTAGGCTCTTGCACTTATTGTTATCCTCCCAAAAAATGTGTGATGTGATTCAAAAAGGTATAAAGGCTACCATACAAATTATAAACCTGAGTATTGTAGGAGAAAATTGAAATAAGTGAGATACATTGTGTCAATGTCCCATCATCCCAGCTTCCCATGCCATTTGACTTCAAACAGAAATTAAGCTCTTGCACTTATTTTTATTCTTCTAAAAAATGTTTCAAGTAACTCTGAAAGGTATAAGGCTACTATACAAATTATAAACCAGAGTATTGTAAGAGTGAATTGAATTGAGATGCATCCACAATTTTCAATAATACAGCCAAACAATATGAATGGCTGGCACAAGTGCAAGGCTTGGTTGAAGGCTCTGTATTCTCAAGAAAACTTATGGCATACTGTTGTAGATAATGTTGTTCTGATCCTCTGTGCCAAATATCCAAGGGCAACCTTCAATACCAAATCCATAGTAACCTCAATGGAATTGGCCATAGTAGGGGAGGACATTACATGGCTTCATGCACAAATGGCTGGCACAAGTGCAGAGCATTGGTTAGAGGCTCTGTGTATTCTGATGTTCTATGCCAAATATCTAAGAGCAACCTTCATTACCAAATCTATAGTGGCCTCGGTGAAGTTGGCCATGTAGGGAGGACATCACATGACTTCATGCACAAATGGCTGGCACAAGTGCAGGAGATTGGTTAGAGGCTCTATATTCTGAAGAAATTTTCAGAGGACACTATTATAAATTCTGATGCTCTATGCCAAATATCTAAGAGCTAGCTTTAATACTGAACCAGAAGTAACTTTGTTGTATGGGATAGGATGTATCAATGGCAAGAAGTTATTCTGTTCTGCTGAATATAATGCAACTTCTTTTTGGGAGGGTAGGACACCTGCCAGCTCTCAGATAAAATCTATTCAAAGATGAAAACTGTATAAAGCAAAAAAGAATTCATTTAGTAGTGTGACATTTTATGCTCTTGGCTCCAAAAAGATTTATTCAGCCTAAAAAATTATATCCAGTGGTGAAAACATAGAATATATTTAATTCAGAGTCTTGGCACTTGAAAGATTTATTTAGTGCAAAAAAATAGATTCAGTATTGTGACAGGTAATTGTGTGACACTTCAACTTAGAAATACAAAATAGATACAGTAGATTTATTCAGTACAGTAAATAAATACAGTACTACTATTAGTCATGTCATATATACTGAAATTACATGACTAATAGTCAGTAGTCAGTGGGTGACTGAAGTGCCCATCCCCTGGTACACAACACCGTCGCTGTCAAACACATCCTCGTGTATATGGTAGACACAGATCCCGCAGCATTAAAACGCAGAGCAGAGTGTGCCCCTTGGACCAGACGCTGCAATGTCTCAACATGGTAAGCAAATTAAACTGATCAATGCTGTTGTCTTCAATATTTTATCGCAGGGCTTCTACGCGTCATGGATGGCACTGTCATATATGCTTGCGCATTGAACTGTCCTAAGGATCCAGTGACTGGTTTACAGATGGCAGAATACGATGTAATCAATTCGTGGTGCTTTGCAGGGTAGGTAGATTAAGAGAATGTTAATACAATTAAATTGTTAAACAATGTTTCAGAAAACGTCTCCTTAATCCTGAAGTGGTAGAAGAGTTACATACAGTCCAAGGCCTGATACTGGGCAAATCTGAGGACATGACCAGGGATGCGCCAACTAAAAATGACCAAGGGGAATATGTAGGGGGTGCTGCCATCGAATGGACTGGTGTTAAAGGCGTGAAGGGTACCCGCTGCTATTCAACTACTTGCACACACCAACATTCTAGGTGCTTGGTTGGCCCCACGGCACAAGGGAAAGTTTTCTCTGATAATGAAACATCGGAATGGACTGAAGACCTGAAAACCAGAAAACATTCTGTGAAGGTGAACTAGAACACACTCTATTATGTCTGATGCTATTAACACACAATCTAGGTCCATTCAGATGTTGCTGTCAAAGCCTTGACAATGTTTGCACCAAAATCTTACATTGAAGCAGTAACCCTTAATGCAGAAGTCATGAAAATGCCCAGAGTGGGGTCTGACGAAAACGTAATTACCCCAGCGCAGCAGGTGAATCTTGTGCCAGCCGTAAGATTTGAATCATGCGAAGGTATGTACTATGCGGTTTTTCTTTTTTATAATATATTTATGATTATGATGCAGAGGATGGATTGGTAGGCATGGGAGACTTCGGGAAAATCGATGGGCATACAGACGATTTTGATACTCCAGGATCTTTTACCTGCATGGTGGCCAACTCTCGGCTGCCTAAAGAATATGAGAGTGGACAATTCCATCTTCTTGGCCTTGGATGCTACTTTGTATTAGAATCACTTACTGTCATGTGCTTCTCTGGGTTACGCAAACATGGTGGCACCCCTCCAATCGCGCCTCCAGGCGTTGAGCCTGCCCCAGATGCATACCACTTTATGAATGTATGCCACCCTCCTAAGGCCATGATATCTGTTGCTGGTTCCTATGTCCAACCTCTGGCATTGCTACCAAGTAGACGACAACAAGATGATTTGTTGCTACTAGGACCAGAAATCACATCACAGATGTAGGTCAGTAATATCATTGTATCTAGCTTTGTATATTTACATCTTTAATTAGGAACCCTCAACCTCTGCCATTATCAAGCCATGCCAATTGGGCCAATGATGGAATTGTTATTATGGAGAGAAATCACTTTTCCGTTTCTTTGTGTGATCACTCCTTCTTCAACTCTGTGCTTTTCTGCTTGGCCAGCTGCCTCGAGTTATGGGAGCAAGGATAGATTCGACGATATTCCTAAGCGCCTTCTCATTCATTGACACTGATGGGAAGTGCTACTCGTTAGGACCCTGGGTCAGAGCGGAGGATGGTGTGGTCGTCGATACGCCATGTCAAGACAAGTCAAGTTGGGGTGGAGATGTACCCTCATCACCTCTAGACACAGAAGGGTCTCAAGCCGCCAATATATGGAGCGATGGGCCTGAACAACAACCAGAGGCTGAACTTCAAAATGATGTGGATCACGTCATTGCTGCACGTCATGGGCGTTGGAACCAATGGTTTGATCACCTTGAGACACAGAGTAAATTTATACCAACACAGTGGGCACTATTTGAGATGAACAAAGATGGAAAGACACAGTTTGACCTGATTCGGAGTCAATTCTATGCAGGCCCTGGAAAGCCTTTACGAATCAAAAGCAAGACTGCAACAAAAAGTGAGCATCATGACTGTCATCATTTGCCTTATCTTATTAACCACATGTATTTATTTCAAGCTAATAAGCGGCAGCGCACTGAAGCGAATGACATGGAAATGGAAAGACCCAAGAAACGTAAGTCACTACCCTATTAATGTCGTAACAAATACTGACAGTATGCTCAGGTCTGAAGGGTTCACATGTTGCATTTCCCCAAAAGCGTGAGTAATATTCTTCTAAGTAGTAAAGAATATGCTGATGTGTTGTAAAGGTGGCGATCTTTTTACGAGTCCTCTGAGTTTACGAAGAGACTCGTTTATTACCCAGGATCTCAGGACTTTTTTCAGTGCGGTAACACTGAAATTTGACTTTCTCCCACGAAAGTGATTTCTTCCCACGATCAGCTGCCTGCTCAACATTGAAGACTTTGCCAGTCTGCTCTACTATTTCTTAGTTATCACCTGCTTTTAGTCCTATCCATGTTGTCATTGATGTAGGTGGTAGCTAATGTATTGTTCTACTGGGCGGTCAGACTCTAATATATGAATATATTGCCTCCATTTTCACATTTAAGGTAACTATACTTCTTTATATTAAAGATATACAAATAAGGGTCATGACAACTTTTGTGGCATATTTTTACAGAGTGTGTGGTATCCTAATGAGCCAAAGGCTATGCAAAATGAGCCATGAGAAGGTCCTGGGGCAGTGGGTGGGTATGAGCGCAAAAAGACAAAAATAGAACGTAACATACATCCAAGAGTGCTCAACTAGTTCATAGGCAGTTTTGGGGAGTCTCTTCAGGGGGTGTGGGGCTATCCAAACGAGCCCTCGACCACAGAAAATGAAGCAGATTGAGGTCCTGGGGAGTTGTGAGCATAAGGGCACTTGTGGGTGTGGGCCAGTGCTGCGCATGGCATGTATGAGTCCTTCCCATGGACCTCCAATGCTGAAAAATATGTAGAGTAAGTTTTTTTTTTAAAAGGCATATTTTAACATTTTCATCAACAATGGATGCAAGCCACATTAATGTAACTTGTGCAAGAGGGCCATTGCAAGCATGGCAGATACGAGTCCTTTTTATATTCAGGAAGCTACAATGCAGCACCACAACATTCACATTTTTGATTATTCAGGAAACTAGTCATGTGACCACCTCCTGAAAGCCCATCAGATTTATACCCATTAACTATATATATATAGTATTGCTATTTTACATTGGATAAAGTGTATATTTCCATTTACCTACAGAGAGTACCTACATATACATTGAAAGCAACAACCAGTATTATCCTCCATTTTTCTCTAAATTTTTCCAGTCTTTTATAGTTAATTTCAAGTAGATTACTACATATGGAAAGTTCTCCTGGACTCTGACCATGCTCCCCAATATTGCACAAGCAGTAACATTCCCTCAATTTCTTATTGCTATTTTTAACTCAAAAAGTGCAAATAACCTCAGTTGAAAATATGCTATGAACATGTCATCAATAGTGCACATGCCC